GACATACCGGTAACCTTGTGAGTTAAAACATGAGCCCTAATTCGGAGTTTCTTGCTACTTTGACCTGCTAGATTCCTACGTTTTCAGAATACATGAAGGACATACTTACCAAATAAACACCAGCATGCCGTGAAGATGGCGAAAATAGAACGATATTGCGTTGAACTTCGCCAAAGTGAACTGACAACGATCAGCTGCCTTTGCGCGCGCGATAATTGTGCGCATGTCCGGATATGGCCAAACGAGGCGATCGAAAGGTCAACATCTGGCATGTGTTTGAAAGCAAATTGTCGGGAATTATACAATTTTCACAGTTTTGTTGGAAAATATCAAATGTACTGCAATTTGGATAACTGATGACTTTATACCTAAAATTGCGATTTACGTAATATTTCCGTCCGTTGATCGATGCACAATCCAACAATATATAAGATTATATCTGTCACTAGCTCGATCTTGATCTTTTATGAAAATAATGTTCCGAAATGATAGTTGCTAAGTTGGATACCTATTACCAATATGAATTATGTATCAAATTTGCCAAGGAAACAATTAGTTGACATTTTGTTGGTTCCTTACGTTGAAACAACGTTGACAACTAAACGAATCTCGACTAACTTTCTTTGGTCGCATGATAAACGTTGAATCAACGTTTATGAAAGGTTGATCAACCAAACAACCAAAATTCAACGTTGATTCAACGTTGTGTGCCCGCTGGGAACTTAGTACAATAACCAATCCAGAATTTTGAGACCAATTCATTTAACTGGATGCATAAATATTATTCAGTATTATTTGATACATCTAAGCACTTGTATATTGCAACACTGCGCTCCTTCTAATCCTTGCAAACACGTTGTGCAGCGTGCTCTGTGGAACAGCGAGCACTGACAAACGGCAACCTGGAAATCGTGGAAATCTCAAAACGAGGCTCTGCCGCTAGACAAGTTTGGCGGTCTGGTACGGAATTGATATGATATCAATCACATTGTGCGTTACAGAACTACACTGAATGAGCGCAAAAAACACATAATAGGTGTAACCAATGAGCCAGATGCATTGTGAATCATTTTTCGACCTCATCAAACAGGGGCAGTCTGTGACGTCTTAGTTAAGGCCATGCTGCCTACACCTCGCAATAAAATATAGAAATACGATGTTTAAAATTAAAATTAATTTGTAAACACCATTTTCTGATGAAACAAGGAATTGGAATTCAGTGTAACCATGGTTGTTTGTGATGTCTAATTTCACTTTCACACGAGAAAATTCGGATCGGCTCAAAACTAGATCATAATCTGAATAGGTTAATGAGACTCATGTTTCGGTTTGAAGTCTATTCAGTCAGGGACAATAGAAGACGTAGATTATCCCAGATTCAATCTATTCGTGACGAACGTATTTGCTTAACCAGTGAAGCGATACATTCACCGTATATATTACATTATAGGTAAGAGCGGATGCATTTTTATTTTGAAGGTAGTTAAATCAAAGAGGTCATGGGTTTTTGCCATGTTGAACCTTTGTTTATTTGTTGTGTATGTGTTATCTGTCATAAATGTAACCAGTATTAAATATATTTAAATGAATAGTGGTGAAGTATGAATGAATGTTCATGTAGGTTTTTATCCCTGGACAAGTAATGAATGTATCACGTTTTGGAATAAAACACAGGTCTACAAAACCTTCTTCGACTATATATAGACTGTGATAAAATGAAAACAGTTTGAGGTCAGTCTCTATATTCACATGCTGCTGATAGGCGTGGTAGATAGTTTATACTTCAACAGTTCTGCAGTTGTATAAGTCCATTGTAAACACAATTCACGGTATAAGTGTTGTGTTTGAATTTTTAGTTTGCCTTTCCTCAGCTTCCATGTCAGTAAATGTACAGCCCTTTCTGGGAGGGTAAGTAGTTAACATCATCATTGACACTACCGTGCTCGCTCTCGTATCTGGCACATTTTCTCTTTGGTTTCAGGGCATTTTCCGGATAACAAGTTTTGATATGTCGTTGTAAGTCGGGCATGTTATCTATGAGCACGCTGCAGTCTGCACACGCCATGGCCATAGTAATGGATCCCTCAAATCTCGTGTCTGAATCTATGTCTCCTTGTCGAGTGAGTTAAGGATCGGGAGACGACCTCTGTTCTGTTGTTGTTATCTCGGAAGTCAATGAAATATCAAAAGAGTCATTCAAGGTGAACTGGTCTACCAGCAGGTTGGGTTCAGACTGAGCTGTTGCTCTCCCGTGGTCTTCTTTTATGAAGTTGACATGCAGTTGATCCTTGTCTTTCGTGCTAGATTTCAGATCAATTGTGAGCTGTCCAATGTTTTTTTCGGCATTTTTCGGGTTTTTCATACATGGCCATCATGTGATCAATACTTTCGGGGAAAATTGTCCAGACAAAGACTTTGATTTGTCATTACAGTCTGACGTCATGCAAAACGTGTACTACAGAACAAAATTCTTCCGCAACCTCTTTATGTAACCGGTTTCGGTTTGAAACCGTAACAATAACAAAAATACGCTATTTTGTCAATTTAATGCATGTAAGACGTGGGTAATAAATAAAATACCACACTCGGTCTCACAACATACGAATTATACGAAACTCGTAACCTTCCTATGGTTTCTGACCTCGCTTTCGCTCGGTCAGATACTACAGGAAGGACACTCCTTTCGTATAATTCGTATGTAATGAGACCACGTGTAGTATTCCCTATAGAGCTGTCAAGGTTAGCGTCTGTGCGGCAATTTTTACTTTGACAAGCAAGGTAGGGTTCCAGGGTTACGTCACAGCTAAATTCTCATTTTCACTTTATAAGACATTTTTTTGTATAACTTTTAATTGACAATGCTATTATTAACACTTGGTCTGCTGTCTAAGTATCCAGTTGTGGATAAGTGATTTTAGGGGGGTTATTATCAACTTTGTTGACATCCGGATTTCGCCTGACAGTTCCGAGAATCCGACAGTCGATCCGGATTCATTCCGACGGATTTAAATGTACCGAGTACAAATACAGTTATTAATCACAGTCACAGATAGCAATCACAAGTCGCAGGTGATTTATTGTCAGTACGAAATATTACAGTTCACAGTTTATTCATTGCTTTGACAGTCGCTGATTGCATTCGCGATCCGGGGAGTCCAATGTCATTCCAACCTGCTATGTTTACATTATCAAGTTACAGTCTCTGCTAAGGGTTTCTTCCACGGGGTCTTTTGAAGCCGAGATATACGTACTTCACTGCGGGAACAGGTCACAATGGCCACACTGACCCTAGTCAAAATGGCCACACAAAAAAGTCAAAATGGCCACAACCCCTAGTCAAAATGGCCATACCAAAAAGTCAAAATAGCCAAAGAAAAAGTCAAAATGGCCATACATTATTTTTTTTTCATATTAATGAGTATTGTTCTTGAAATGCTTCCTTAATTGATACTTTGAGATTGTTACTTATTTAATATTTTGAGAATTTTTTTTGTCCTGTACTTTGAGATGTTTTCTTATGTAATACTTTGAGCTGTATAAATACTCTCGCAATGTTTACTCAATTAATACTTTCATGTGTTATTTCAAAACCCTTTGATCATTGGGCAGTGTTTTTGATAACATGACAACAAGTGACCAGGACACCTTTACTAAGGGCTCTTCCCCACACTCCCATCCGGGGTAGTCCTGTAAGTTCGACCTTTGGGTCGAGGTAAAAATCCTTTGATATTTGATGTTGTGAAAACGGTTATGTACTAGCGGGTTGACATGTGAACCAGCGGGTTAGTGAGTAATTTAGTTCACTCAATTCATTTGTGAGTTGTTCAATTTCTTACATAAACTTGCATGCTATAATAATGTTTGACCTGACAGTTTTCATCATCATGTCCACAAATGCAGTTATGGCAAATGCACAATAAATTTCTTCCTACTTCTCGTGATGGAAGATACATACATGTAAATGGTTATATGTTTATTGTAAACAAGAAGAAAAGGGTAGAATGGACCTAACCTCCCATCCCTTTGAGTCAGGAGTCACAACTTCAGGAGTCACAAGTGAAGATGAAGGTAAGATGCATGGGTATTAAAAAAATGATCACTTATCCTTTAACTGGCTCGTTAATTACTAATCAACATGTGATTACATACATTGGGTAACCTTACTTAAAGATCACATGCAACCAAAATACAAAAACATAATTAAAACACAATTATCACTTATTCATGACATGTAATATACATAGCTGATTATGAAAAAACAAATAAACAAAATTATAAGAGTACAATCGCAAATCAAAAGTGCAATATTTGGTACTTGGGTTTTATTATATTAACAAATATAAATATAACAAATACAAAAGTGCATGTACATGAAGAAAAAACCTACATTTATCTGTCTTGTTATTTGTTGATGTGTAATAAACATCAAGTTTTGTCTGATATAACTTCTTTTGTCATTTTTACACCTTGTTATCACATAAAGCAACATGGGGAAAGTTATCAGTATTAAAACATATATAAAATAAATGAGTGGCCATTTTGACTTTTTCTATGGCCATTTGTACTTTTTGGTGTGGCCATTTTGACTAGGGGTTTGTGGCCATTTTGACTTTTTGTGGCCAGTTTGATTTGGATTTTTTATGGCCATTTTGACGTGTGGCCATTTTGACTAGGACCCCTTCACTGAAAGTCATAATTAGGATTTGTTTCCTTTCTTACTTGTATCACATTTTGACAGCTGTCGGAGGCGTGGCCTCCTTGGTATTCATTCCGGGTCACGTGACTTCCGGAATGTATTGTTTACATTATCTGGATCCAGTTCCGGTTGCTGCAAGTTCGTACACTTTAAAGTTTCGAAGTTTATTGTACTGTTAATTCGTTTTAACTGCCCAGGGATCTCTATCGCGAGTGGGATACAGTACTACAAGATTACTGTAAGACTACGACAGCCACAAGGACACAGGAAAACGAGCAAAGTATCCAGTCAAGATGACAGTCAGTATCGTGTCGAGACCTTGTATTTTCAGTTTGGTGCTTCATAAATAAACTCGTTATTGAAACTTTATCTACTTGTTGTGTGATCCTTCTGCATTTCACCACTTTCGACATTCACTTAGGAGATAAACATCATATGTTGGCAAATTTCCGGGTGTTATTGAGTATTTGAAGCACGGGAATTGAGGTTGCAAATGAAATATTTCCGTGCTTCAAATACTCAATAACACCTGGAATTTGGCCAACGCATGATGTTTATCGACATTGTAAACACAAAAGTAAACCAAAAGGTCCACACACGTTTTTGTGTCTGCACTCATTGACATCGAGTACGGGTACGGCAGTGAAATGTCATCAGCCGGCCGTTTCGGCTGTCTCCCATGGTAGCATCTGGAATAAGCTGGTTCCCGGCTCCCTTTGCGCGCGCTAACGTTCGACAAAGCTAGGAGCCGGTATAGGCTGCCATTTAAAACGCTCTGGGTGCCGTTCCACTAACCGATCTTAACTAAGATCAATCACATACAATAATGAAAGTCGCCATTTTGGTTTCTCTACGATTGATTTTAGCGATCCTAAGCTGGTCATGAGCAGCTTAGACTTTGGATCTTAACTTTACGATTGACTTAGGTAAGATTGGTTAGTGGAACGGTATGCCGATCTTAACGTCACGCTATTAAGATTGGGATTTAAGGGGTTTACGATTGGCGTAGGGCTAAGATCGGTTAGTGGAACGGCACCCTGCTCGTTTATTTGACGTTTGGTCAAGCTGGACTCCGTCGTACTGAATAATATAAAGTCTGAAAAGTGTACGTTGTGCGAGAATTGCGCTTGCGTGGTCCTGGATGTGCGTACGACTCTTAAAGTATGTTCAAACCAACTAATTATCAAATGTTCATAATCTTAAAGCTAAAGATCTGAATTGTTATGATTTGTTTACATTTTAAACAAGTACAGTTTGCACCGCCTTCGTTTTCACACCTTATCTATATTGCTCAATTTCATATGTTGTATACAGGCTGGAATAGACGAAAAATGACGTCATCATCGAACACCTGGCTGACCTCATTTCACAGGGGTGTCAATGACCGTGGGATCCGGCGTGACATCACAGCATCACACCATGACATCACGCCATTATTTTGGACCAATCAGCAACTATTAAATTCACTCCGGTGTGACTCACGCTGACTGAGGGGTCAATGGCCGCGCACCCCGTGGGAAACACATCATAGCATCACACCATGACATCACGCCATTAATTTGCACCAATCAGCGCATAGCACCTACGGAACTCACTTGACCACTGACCACAAACTAGTTTCATCCGGTTTCAATCTTACCTATTAAAAAAACCCTCTGACAGTGAGTTGAAGTTATCATTTTGTCCTCTTACAAAATGTTTATATTTTCCATACTCAATAACCTTTTCTGTGGCCTGTGGAGAAAATCTGTTATCTCAGAGCGCGCGCCGTTGAGGCATGGGGAATTAAACTGGCTGCCTTCACACACTTCCCTCGTCTCACTCAGCCAAGGTGCAATATGATACCTCCTCAAGTTGTATTCAAAACCATTGGTCTAACATTAGCCTGTCTCACGGTCCCTGAACCATATTATTTTGCCTACAGCCTAGCCCTCCCTGCAGTGCTAAGGCTCTAAATGAAGTCTAGATTTCCCCCAGGTCTTCCGGGACTCCTTTTCAATTTAAATAGGTTTGTTTGTTACTATCAAGATAATACATTCAGAGACTAAACATTAGTCTAGTCTAACATGTGCACACATATGTGTAAAAGAAATTATACGGGTTCAGTTCACGGGTTTTATAACACATTTGTTCAATGCAATCAGCGTTCAATGCCACATGAAAATGGTTTGAGTTTGTCTTGACCATCACCAAAACAACCCAACTCAATAGAATTTCAAATGTATTTCAAACCTACCGCTATTCACATTCCATATTTGAATATCCAATCCATATTGTCATTGTATCCTGCCTTGTAATGCCATAAATTTAGGAATCAGGGATGATATTGAGATGTTATACCCAAATCCAATATTTTTGTGATTGTATTGAATGAATCAACCACCAAAACACATGAGACTAATATTGCACCTTCCATGTAAATATAACATATGTTATATCTGGGATTGTGTCGTGTGTCTAGACGCGATCTGGTGACCCACATTTGCGTGTGTGGGACTATACTGTGACGGGAGGGGTAGGGGAGGGGCGGGGGGCACTGCTGTGGCAGAGGGAGGGAGGTTTATGTCGACAGTTAGCCTGACGACATTTCTCGCGAGTGTAAAAACACCCATAAATAAAAAATGTTCGTTAGAATGAACACTAGCTAGGGCGTGTCAGCTTTGACTGTAGAAATGTGCATTCTCGTCATGGGGTTTGTACATCATATTTGGGAATGCAACTTTCAACTTTCTAAAATTTCATCAGGAATGGGGTGTAATTGTATAGTGTTAGCATGAAAGAGTATGACAACGCACTGGTGTATATTATTATTATATGGGTATTTATATAGCACTATAGTCCATCCCGCATGCATGCTCAAATGCTTCCTTGGATGTCAATCACAGCCATATTACCATTCTCAACTCCCCGGGGAGCACCTTGCTGCCACTAGGCGCACCAAGTTAATGTGGCTCCTAACGAGGTATACATGACAAAAATAAAAGATAAACTGATTTCATTTTTTTTATTAGCTCCGTTTCAAACGAGTTAAACTACGGGATAGGAGCGCTCCCAGAAGTCTACTTTACATCTGTTGTCTTATTACCCTTCCTCATCCATCTGGCCTTCACTCTCTTCATCAGATGTTATGTCTGCATTATCATCTTCAGTCATGCCTTCGACCCAAGACTTATATTGGTACAGATTGGAAAACACGTCATGATACAGATTATTTGTGTCTCCTACTTGTTTCAGTATTCCTTGTGTATTTGGACCATAATGCATATGGTACAGATAAGTAATAAACCGGGCATACGTCTCTTTAAACGTGCTCCACATGGATTTGTTCAGTTTGGCTTGAATCGTGTCTTCGTTTAAACCTCTTTTCATGTACAGCTGTCGTTTCTCATCCAAAAAAGTCTTTATTCAGCTCACGTGTACGTGAATACATTTGTCTTATACCTTGCTCTTCGAGATCAGCCATCTTTTTTTTCCTGTTGTTTTGTGTGACATCGTTTAATGATTCATCATCATCATCATTTTCCACTTCAGGACATTGTTTATCTTGTAAATGTCTTTGTAAGTTGTGGTTATTGCTAAACACTTGACCAAAATAGTCACAATCTGACAGTGTACGTGGTGCCTTCACAGGAGAGAAGTTGTCGTCTTCCTCCCACTTCCTTTTAACTTGAGGTATTCCCGGTGGACCCACTGAAGACTTTACAGGACACCAGTTTCTTCTGTGTTTTTTGCAAATCATGCACGTCTTGAAACATGAGTCCACAGTCATCACAAGATGGCATGGCTGGGAAGTTTTCTTCACACGTCTGCTCACGCCGAAAGTCTAACTCGGACTGAATGGTCCTAGCTTGGATGTCTCCATTTAAGCTGAATGCATTGGGGCAAAGTCGCAAATGGGGAGGTGTTTGGGGTTTTAGATCAACCAACAAGTAGCCATATGGTTTCTGGATAGCCCTTTGAAACGGCTCCATGAAACGGTCTGTGTTACCTGGATACATTTGCCTCGCCAAAGTCCTGCCAGAAGCAGATAGGCAGTTTCTTCGTTGTGTGGGATAAAATACATGGGTTTCACTGAGTTACGAAGGTTCCTTCCGTAAACAGATTATACTAGGGCTGCCATTTTTCGAGATCGCCTTAGGGATAAACATGGGTTTGAGAGCGTTTGTAGAGCCAAATAATACGTTGAGGATAAGGTTTAATGTTCATCCATTCTAGAATCTGTTTCACTAAGTACGTTTTCCCACAGGAGGTGGGCCCTGAGACAATCATGGTGAAGGGGTGTATCAGTCTAAATTCTTCCAAAGCACCCACATGTGGTTGCACTGGTTGCGTCATAGGTGATGGTACTTGTGGTGGTGCTCGTGGTCGTGGTCGTGGTGGTTGTGCTCGTGGTGGTGGTGGTGGTGGTGGTGGTGCTCGTGGTGGTGGTGGTGGTGATGGTGTGGTGCTCGTGGTGGTGGTGGTGGTGGCTACATTGCTCGTCTGTGTTGATTCCTGAGATGTCTAAGTATGGCATCCCTTCTGGAAAACGTCTGATAGCACACGGGACACTTTGCTGACTGCATGGTGGTCCGAGTCTAAATGGCAAAGAACCTGTCTACTAGCTGCTTTTATCTAAAAACTCGTCTTCCGTTTCTTTGTGCGACACTGGGAGGAAGTCATTATTTTGGCTTCAGTTTCCCCGTTCGCCTGCAAAGGGATTGGGATATCCTTTAGCCTGCAAATAGTAATATTTGGTCCATTTCTTAGGATCGTCCAAATAGGGTCTTCAGTATCTTCTGTGCATTTTCTTGTTCAGAATGAATACTGACTCTCAAACAGAGGTTTCAGATGAAGTGTCACTATCACGGGTCCACGGCTAAATGAAGCTAAATCACCGTTTCTGTCCTTTATATAGATGTATGCTAGCCCTAATTCTAACTCCTAAAAAACATGTTGCTAGCAGGGCGTGGTTTCGATCCACGGTCCTCTGGGTTATGAGCCCAGTGCGCTTCCACTGTGCCACTCTGCTCTCCCTTCACCTACCTTTTTGTTAGGACTTTTATACACCACGTCAACCAATGACAACCAAAATTGATTTATTCTCAAATTGTCACAAATACACACAGTATTGTACAATGAACATCACACTTTTACACATGTAAATCTACATGGGGAGTGTTCGGGGGCCTTATATTGCCCACTTGAGTCTAAAAATACCCCTTGGAAAGTGGTTTATCCCAAGGTCAGCTCAGTACAAGGTCATTGACACCCCTGTGAAATGAGGTCAGCCAGGTGTTCGATGATGACGTCATTTTTCGTCTATTCCAGACTG